AAAAACCACATGATCGCCCTGGCTGGTTTGGCTCAGCGGTTAGAGCTTCGACCTGCGGTCCTGAGAGACCCGGGTTCGGTTCCCGCTAAGGGCGCGTACCTCGGTTGCAGTTTGTCCCTGGGCCTGGTCGGTCGTGCGGGTGGCAGCCACTCTATGTGTTCCTTTCACATCGATGTTTCTCTCTCTCTCTGTTCCTCTCTCTCCCTCCCACTCTACCTGAACAATAAAACGGGAAAATGTCCTTGGGTGAGGGAAAAAAAAAACAAAAAACACATGATCATATCACTAGATGCTGAAAAAGCATTCGACAAAATACAGCATCCATTTCTGATAAAAACGCTCAGTAATGTAGGAATAGAGGGATCATATCTCGACATAATAAAGGCCATATATGAAAGACCTACAGCCAACATCATACTCAATGGACAGAAACTAAAAACATTTCCATTAAGAACAGGAACAAGACAGGGATGTCCACTTTCACCACTCTTATTTAACATTGTACTGCAATTCTTAGCCACAGCAATCAGACATGAAGAAAAAATAAAAGGGATCCAAATTGGAAAGGAGGAAGTGAAACTGTCATTATTTGCAGATGACATGATATTATACATAGAAAACCCTAAAAACTCCATCAAAAATCTACTGGACTTAATAAATGAATTTTCCAAAGTAGCAGGATACAAAATTAACGTCAAGAAATCGACGGCATTCTTGTACACTAATGATGAACTCACAGAAAGAGAAACTGAAAAAACAATCCCATTTACCATCGCGCCAAAAAAATTACGATACCTAGGAATAAACTTAACCAAAGAAGTAAAGGATCTATTCGCAGAAAACTACAGGTCATTGAAAAAAGAAATAGAGGAAGATATAAAAAAGTGGAAGCACATACCCTGTTCATGGATTGGAAGAATTAACATCATTAAAATGTCCATACTACCCAAAGCAATCTATAGATTCAATGCAATCCCCATCAAAATACCAACGACATATTTCATAGAACTAGAACAAATACTTCAAAAGTTCATATGGAACCAAAAAAGACCCCGAATAGCCACAGCAATCTTGAAAAAAAAGAACAAAGTAGGTGGGATCACAATACCAGATATCAGGTTATACTACAAAGCGACTGTAACCAAAACAGCCTGGTACTGGCACAAGAACAGGCATATAGACCAGTGGAACAGAACTGAAAACCCAGAAATGGACCCAAGGCAATACGCTCAATTAATATTTGACAAAGGTGGCAAGAGCATACAGTGGAGTAAAGACAGCCTCTTTAATAAATGGTGTTGGGAAAATTGGACAGCTACATGCAAAAAAAATGAAACTAGACCATCAACTTACACCATACACAAAAATAAACTCAAAATGGATAAAAGACTTAAATGTGACCCGTGAATCCATAAAAATTCTAGAAGAAAATGTAGGCAACAAAATTTCGGACATCATACGGAGCAGAATTTTCACTGATACATCACCTAAGGCAACAGAAATAAAGGAGAAAATGAACACATGGGACTACATTAAACTAAAAAGCTTCTGCACAGCAAAAGAAACAATCATCAAAATGGAAAAGCAACCCACTGTATGGGAGAACATCATTGCCAATGATGTATCAGATAAGGGGTTAATTTCCAATATATATAGAGTGCTCACACAACTCAACAAAAGGAAGACAAAGAAACCAATTAAAAAATGGGCAGAGGAGTTGAATAGACACCTCTCCAAAGAGGACATACAAATGGCCCAGAGACATATGAAGAAATGCTCAACATCACTAATCATCAGAGAGATGCAAATTAAAACAACAATGAGGTATCACCTCACACCTGTCAGAATGGCTGCCATCAACAAATCATCAAACAACAAGTGTTGGCGAGGGTGTGGAGAAAAGGGGACTCTAATACACTGCTGGTGGGAATGCAGACTGGTGCATCCGCTATGGAAAACAATATGGTGCTACCTCAAAAAATTAAAAATTGAACTTCCATTTGACCCAGTGATCCCACTGCTGGGAATATACCCTAAGAAGGCTGAAACACCAATCAGGAAGAATATATGTACCCCCATGTTCATAGCAGCACTATTTACAACAGCTAAGATCTGGAAACAGCCCAAGTGTCCACTAGTAGACGAATGGATAAAAAAGCTGTGGTACATATACACAATGGAGTACTATGCAGCGGTAAGAAAGAAAGATCTCTTATCCTTTGAGACAACATGGAGGGACCTGGAAAGTATTATCCTAAGTGAAACAATCCAAGCAGAGAAAGACAAATATCATATGATCTCACTTATTTGTGGACTATAATAAACATAACAGTCTGAGGAACAGTGTAGACCCAGAGATGTGAAAGTAGGGTACAGACTGACAACCCTCAGAAGAGGTAGTGGAGGGGGAGGGAAGAGATCAACCACAGAACTTATATGCATGTACACATAACCGCCAGACACAGACAACAAAGCTGGGGACGGAGTGCAGGGGATGGGAGGAGGGTGTCAATGGGGAAAAAAGGAGAAACCTCTGTAATAAAAATAAATTAATAAAAAAATGTTAATGATGATAGGATAAAATAAAAAGAAGTTAAACTGTGGTACTATAAGATGGTCTCAGGACAAATCACTGATCTAAAGAGCAAAGATATTAGCCTACTTTGGCCAGGCACTATACTACAGTCAAGGGATATGCCTGGCAAGACTGTCAGAATTCTAAATCAGCATATCAGGGTAACCTTTCCCTGTTCTGTTCCACTGGTCTATATGCCTGTTCTTGTGCCAGTACCAGGCTGTTTTGATTACAGTGGCTTTTTAGTATAACCTGAAATCTGGTAATGTGATTCCTCCAACTTTGTCCTTCTTTTTCAAGATTGCTGTGGCTATTCGAGGTCTTTTTTGGTTCCATATGAACTTTTGAAGTATTTGTTCTAGTTCTGTGAAGTATGTTGTTGGTATTTTGATGGGGATTGCATTGAATCTATAGATTGCTTTGGGTAGTATGGACATTTTAATGATGTTGATTCTTCCAATCTATGAACAAAGTATGTGCTTCCACTTTTTTATATCTTCCTCTATTTTCTTTTTTCAATGACCTGTAGTTTTCTGCGAATAGATCCTTTATTTCTTTGGTTAAGTTTATTCCTAGGTATCTTAATTTTTTTGCCGCGATGGTAAATGGTTTTTTGTTGTTGTTTTTTTAGTTTCTCTTTCTGTGAGTTTATCATTGGTGTATAAGAATGCCATTGATTTCTTGACGTTAATTTTGTATCCTGCTACTTTGCCAAATTCATTTATTAAGCCTAGTAAATTTTTGATGGAGTCTTTGGGGTTTTTTACGTATAGTATCATGTCAGGAAGATGTTTATTTTAAAGCGCCAAGCCTCTGGGGTCGTTGCAAACAAGGACCAAATTGGTAGGGAAACACAAATTTTTTCTTAATATTAATATTTTCCTGCCTAGCCAGTGTGGCTCACTTATTGAGTGTCATCCCGTGTCGTGAGAGGTCCTGGTTCGACTCCCAGTCCAGGCACATGCCTGGGCTGGAGGCTCCATCCCCAGTGGGGGTTGTGCAGGAGGCAGACAATCAATGTTTCTCCCTCACATCAATGTTTCTATCTCTTTCTCCCCTCCTCTCTCCAAAAAAAAATCGATCAAAACATATTTTATTTTATTTTTTATAATTCACAGAATCTTTTAATTTTTTAATTAATTTATTTAGTTTTGTTACAGATGTTTCTCCTTTTTCCCCCACTGATTCCCCCTCCTCTTCCCTCCCCACCCTGTCCCCACCTTTGTTGTCCATGTCCATTATTCATACATACATGCATGTAAGTTCTGTGGTTTATTTTTTTAAATATATTAATTTTTCCCCAAGATATATATATTTTAAAGTAAACAATTATTTTGAGGGGCAAACAATAAAAAGGTAAATAAAAGCCTATCCAGAGTGGCTCAGTTGGTTGAGCATCGTCTGTGCACCAAAATGTTGCTGGTTCAATTCCGGGTCAAGGCACATTCGGAAGGCAGCCAATCACTGTCTCTCTCTGTCTCTCTCTTCCTGTCTCTCAGCATGTCCTTGGGTGAGGATTTTTTTAAAAATGCAAATAACAGAATGAAGGAAAGTCAAAACAGAAGTCAACAATACTCCCCAGTAACTATTGTGTGTGAGCTGTTAAAATTAATTTAGGAGGAGTCAGTTCATGTTCCTGTGGCCTAAATAAGAAGTAAGTGATGCCAACTCAATCTTCGGCAACACAAATTTAGAAGAAAAGTGTTCAAGTTGCTACTATTCCAAGAAAGCCCTTCTTTGGTCATTTCTTGAAGACTTGTTATACTTTGTTAGAATTTGTGATATAGTTTAATTGGACAGAATAGACATGCACTCATGAAGAGTTAACTATACAAACTACGAAACAGTTGATCTCCAAAGGTATATAATATATGCCAAATTAATCATATAAATAATAACTGCTATTATGAGTTTTTAGAGAGAAAAGTCCATGGTCCTCTAAGCTATCCTTCATTCAGGGAAAATTGTCCCTCAGACATCCCAAAGAGATATATTTGATATTTTTGATGTTCTAACTCTTCTTCTTTAAAAAAACTAGATCCTTAGATATGAACTCCTAAATTATTTCCCCTTTGAACTTATAAAAAACCATTTAGAAGAGAAAATGGGGGAAATACCCTAGTTTCATAGCAAAAGGAATGTTTATAGTACTGTGTTTAGCTTTAGATACAGAAGTTACATGCACACAGAAGCAAACATCAATGATCAGCCCCGGTCTGTTTTCCAAGTTTTGCCCCTGGGGGTATAAAAATGAATAAAGAGAAAAGAATGAGGCATGGAATCCAATAACTAGTCTTAAATCTGTCATTAGAGCTTTGATGTCCCATCACACACCCTGGATCTGTGTTTAAAGCTGCTAAGTTCCCGTGACACTTCTAGATTGCTTCTAATATCATTAACTTCCTTTTCATCATTATGATTTCAGTTCAGGTTTCATCTGATATTACATCATAAGAGACACTGACCGCAAACCAGGAACATTTGTGAAGAATACTGTAGTGCTACAAGGAGGTATGGCTTCATTTTCTAAATGATTCTTGTTTCTTCCACTTACAAAGTATCCCAAAAAAATAACTTCCTTTATTATCTGCACTAAAATTAATTTCATTTATGTTTATTGCTTGCTTATATTAATCAATTAATAACCCACTTGTTTTGTGCTAAGATAATTCTTACCATACTGTATTGTAACCTCTCTATACTTCTGAGTCATCACTCCTCTCCCCCATCAGACTGTGAGCTCTTTGAAGGCAGAGATGGGATATTAGGCATCTCTATATCCGCATAGTGTGGGTCTCATTATTAAGGGCTCACAGTATTTCTATAAATATGAATTAAATGTTGTTTAAGGCAAGCAAAGCCATCATCTGTAAAATGAGTGGCTTGGACTAAAATATCCCTACCTCTTTAGGATTTATTATTTGTCTGAGAGTTTTACAGTCTTTTTTAATGGCTTACTGTTAAGTCAGTTGACTTGATTCGTTAAAAAATAAACCATGGAACCTAAATATAGAAATTACTAGGCAAGCTTATTTCAGTCTGCAAGAACTGAGAAGTCCTTTAATGGGACTAAAGATCATCTGTTGCTTTGTCTGTTTTTATGCATTTCTTTATCAGTTTTATTTGGCATATCTTATTCAAAGATCTGGAAATTTTTAATGTACTTATAATATTTAACAGACAAATAAACAAATTATTACTCTGTATCAAGATATGGGTTTTTTTTTTTTTTAATCCTCACCAGAGGACATTTTTCCATTTTTTGCACAGATAGAGTGGGAGGGAGAGAACAGAAGAGAGAGAGAGAGAGGGAAACATCGACGTGAAAGGGACACATCGAGTGGCTGCCACCCGCACGACCAACCAAGGCCAGGGACAAACTGCAACCGAGGTACATGCCCCTAGCGGGAACCGAACCCAGGTCTCTCCGGACCGCAGGCGGACGCTCTAACCGCTGAGCCAAACCGGCCAGGGCTATTTTTTTAATCTTACACTTAGCCTTACAATAGAGCCTTCCTTAATACTTTAGGAAGCAGTTTTACTTAACAGAGCCATTTTATTTTTCTTTCTTTACTGATTTTTAGAGAGAGAGGAAGAGAGAGGGAGAGAGAGATAGAAACATTGATAAGAGAGAGCACTGACTGGCCACCTCCTGCATTCCCCCCACGGGGAATTGGGCCCACATCCTGGGCATATTCCCTGACCAGGAGTCGAACTGCCGACCTCTTGGTGCATAGGTCAACACTCAACCACTGAGCCACACCAGCTGGGCAACAGTCACTTTAGACTCTGGGGCTGGAAAGGTTTTCAGTGATATTAGAATCAAAAGATAACTTTAAATGATTTAGAAGGATACACAATCTTTTCAAATAATAAACTTATTCCATCATTCATTTACTCAGTCACTCAATTAACATTTATTGAGCACTTATGAGCAAGGTACATATTTGTTAGCCCAGTGTGTGATGCTATCTTATGTATCATCCAGAAAGTCTGTGAAGGAAGATAACACATGCATACAAATCATTGATCTTCAAGATAGATTAAAAGTCCCCTAGGAGGGAAATGTATAGAAATTACTTTGGATAGAGGCTGAGAAAAGGCTTGGTTAAGATGGTGTAATTTGAGCTGAAGGATGGGTAGTTTTTGCAAATAGATTGAGGAAATGGCATTTCAAGAAGAAGAAATTCATGAAGAAAGATAGGCAGGTGGGAAAACATGTAAAAACCTATCCTTAGTATAGCTATATATACTATATATATATATATAGCTATATATACTATATAGTTGTTCCATCAAATTGTAGGATCTGCAAAAGGAAGAAGTGAGAGAGAAGCTAGGAAAGTTTAGTTGCAACCAGACTGTACAGAGCCAAGGAATCTGGATTTTATTCTGAAGGTGCTCAGGAACCACTGAAGGTTTTAGAGCAAGGACATGATGTAATTGAAAGTTAGAATGTATGGGGAATTATTCTGGAAAGAGTCTGTGGCAGGGTATAGTTCGGACCGATGGTGGTAGAAAAGACAGATGGTAATTATCTAACACCCTTCAATAGTAGTTCTTAAAACAAAGGCTACATCAATAATCTCAACAGCACCATCTAGTGATTCACAACATAACACTGCTGTATTATTTTGGGAAAAGCCAATACAAGGGAACCAAAAAAAAAAAAAAAACTACATTAAATTTAGGCCGTTTCCCTTTCTTCCACAATTACACCTGAGCTCAGAGGACAAATAGTGAAAGAGGCAGGTAGGTACCTGGAAAGCAAACAGAAATAATGCAGAGGTTGGGAATAGCAAACTCATTTTTTTCTATCATCTTAAAATATACACCCTCAGAACGACTCATCTTCAATTTTTTTTATCATATACCAATAGTTCTTGGTGAAAATAATGACATTTTTAATTAAAGGAAACAATGGACCTAACCTAGATGGATGGGTGGATGACACATCTTTGCAGCAAATATACTTGCTAGCAGTAGTAAGCCTGGGCAGTTATATCCCACCTACAACCACTACCATAGCTGTCTGTTTCTGTGTCCCTAATGCAGAGACGAGACCAGACCCCTCTATTGCTGGCAGTTCTTTTTTGCTCAAGCAGTCTTTTCAACTTACAAATCCCGACTCTGCTCTTACAATGGAGCAAGAGCTATGTAAAAGACCAACAAATTAGATTCCAATCAAATGTTATCTAAGAAAAGGGGGTGGCATCTGTAATATTCTCAACAATAAATATTTTTAAATGTTATCTACCACATTATATATTGATGAGTTGTTCCCAACTCCTTAAAGAATAAAGGAAAATAATCTGAAGGAACACTAAAGAAATCACTTGCTTCCATACTATCCTTTCCCCATTTTTATCTGATCTGAGCTTGTTGATTGCCCTGATTAACTGCCCTGATATAGTTAAACTAGGCTAGACTAAGTAAAAACTTCTTGCTATGAAAGAAATGATCATGTATTTTTCAACAGTAAGGCTTTGAGTGTGAGTCTAGGAAGAGAACAAGGATGGACAGCTGCAATATCCTCACCCAGAAGGTATATTCCAATGAGTTATGCTATGACTTTCCTCAAAGCCTTAACTTATGGTACAGATTTTAGAAAAGCATTTTACTTCTTTGTAAGTATTTTCTTCATTAAAATAATTGGATGGCTTCTAAAATGTCTCTAGCCTTGGTGTTCTGTGGTTCTAAATAGAATCAATCATATTCTAGATTAAGATTATTGCCCAGGCCCTGACTGGTTTGGCTCAGCGGTTAGAGCATCAGCCTGCAGTCCAGAGAGACCTGGGTTCGGTTCCTGCTAAGGGCACGTACCTCGGTTGCAGTTTGTCCCCGGCCATGGTTGGGTCGTGTGGGTGGCAGCCACTCGATGTGTCCCTTTCACGTCGATGTTTCTCTCTCTCTCTCTCTCTCCCCCCCCCCCTCTATCTGAACCAAAAATGGAAAAATTTCCTTGGATGAGGATTAAAAAAAAAAAAGATTAGCCCTGGCCGGTTTGGCTCAGCGGTTAGAGCGTCGGCCTGCGGTCCCGAGAGACCCGGGTTCGGTTCCCGCTAAGGGCACGTACCTCGGTTGCAGTTTGTCCCCGGCCCTGGTTGGTCGTGCGGGTGGCAGCCACTCGATGTGTCCCTTTCACATCGATGTTTCTCTCTCTCTTCATTTCTCCCCCTCATACTCTACCTGAACAAAAAATGGAAAAGTGTCCTCAGGTGAGGATAAAAAAAAAAAAAAAAAGATTATCTCCCTGGGGAGTGAGTTCCATGAATAACAAATCCAATTATTTTTCCCTAGGTAAGAGCATCATCTAGCATGTGTTATTTAGGAAGCCCTCTTCTTGGGACAACCACACATTTTCACCCAGATTTTATCCTCCACGAGAATTCAGTGCTCTTCTAATAAATACATGATAGATGATAAATAAATTGATAGATAGATTCATATTTACGAAACCACTCTCTTTAGAGCTTTACTCTAACTGAAAAACAAACTTACTTTAAAAGAAGATTTACAGAATAATACTAGAGTAACAAGATTGAAAATACTTTTTTTTTAACCCTCACCTGAGGACATTTTTCCTTTTTTTTTTTCAGATAGAGTGGGAGGGAGAGAGAGAGAGATAGAAACATCAACGTGAAAGGGACACATCGAGTGGCTGCCACCCGCACAACCCAACCAGGGCCAAGGACAAACTGCAACCGAGGTACGTGCCCTTAGCGGGAACCAAACCCGGGTCTCTCAGGACCACAGGTCGACGCTCTAACCGCTGAGCCAAACTGGCCAGGACACAAGATTGAAAATAAAGTAGAGCTGTTTTAGCTAGATCTTGACGATTAAGAGGAAGTCCATCAGGCAAACATGGGTGGGAAAGGAGGGAAAAAAGAGGGCTTCTCCTGGGGACTAGGTGCAGTTGAATTCTTCCTCATTGCCCCACCACCCTTGCTTCCTGCCATGCTTAAAATGCATACATAGTGACACTATAAAGTGAAAACTTAGTAGCTCCTATTACATATGGTCTGGTAAAAATTGACAAGATTTTTATATATATATATTGTAGGCACCAAGCAGACATTCCTAGAGAAACATGGATGGAGTTGGAAATATGACAGTATCTTCTGCCAGTAATATCATATGCAATGACACTATTGATGACTTCCGCAATCAAGTGTATTCCACCTTGTACTCTATGATCTCCGTTGTGGGTTTCTTTGGCAATGGTTTTGTGCTCTATGTTCTCATAAAAACATACCATGAGAAGTCAGCATTCCAAATATACATGATTAATTTAGCAATAGCAGATCTTCTGTGTGTGTGTACACTGCCTCTCCGCGTGGTGTATTATGTTCACAAAGGCATTTGGCTCTTTGGTGACTTTTTGTGCCGCCTCAGCACCTATGCCTTGTATGTCAATCTCTATTGTAGCATCTTCTTTATGACAGCCATGAGCTTTTTCCGGTGCATTGCAATTGTTTTCCCGGTCCAGAACATTAATTTGGTTACACAGAAAAAAGCCAGATTTGTGTGTGTTAGTATTTGGATTTTTGTGATTTTGACCAGTTCTCCATTTTTAATGTCCCCACCTTACAAAGATGAGAAAAACCATACCAAGTGCTTTGAGCCTCCACAGGATAATCAAGCTAAAAATTACATTTTGGTCTTGCATTATGTGTCATTGTTTATTGGATTTATCATTCCTTTTATTATCATAATTGTCTGTTACACAATGATAATTTTGACCTTACTAAAAAATTCAATGAAGAAAAATCTGTCAAGTCGTAAAAAGGCTATAGGAATGATTATAGTTGTGACAGCTGCCTTTTTTATTAGCTTTATGCCATATCATATTCAACGTACCATCCACCTTCACTTTTTACACAATGAAACAAAACCTTGTGATTCTGTCCTTAGAATGCAAAAGTCAGTGGTCATAACCTTATCTCTGGCTGCATCAAATTGTTGTTTTGACCCTCTCCTATATTTTTTTTCAGGGGGGAACTTTAGGAGAAGGCTGTCTACATTTAGACAGCATTCTTTGTCCAGCATGACTTACGTACCCAAGAAGAAGGCCTCATTGCCAGAAAAAGGAGATGAAATATTTAAAGAATAGTGTCAACCCATCTCCAATGCAAATCAATGAAAAGGAGTTTCCTGAGCAAGTATTTTCTCAAATAGTTTACAATAAAAATTTAAAATTCCATTAACAATTTACAAATAATTGAATGTGTACCTATAAGTCTCTCTTATTTATGCATCCACATTATCAGAGATCCAAAAAGTATTTTAAATTATAGCCCACAACTATTAACTAAATTATATATTTGATCATTTGCCAAAAGGTGAAGAATATTTGTGTATTGGTACTAAAAATAATGGATCCAAAATCAAGGTTTTCTGCCTCAAATAAAAGCTTTACAAAAGATAGATAAGAACTCGCCTTTTGAGATGTAAAATTAGCAATAGTTCTCAATCATACTAACATATCCCTTTGCATGCATGCCATCAAATGAGAACTGGAATGACCTAGGAGCTACAGAGAATGTTCTGCTGTCACATTATTCCTTTGTAGTTTGACTGGGTAGGCAAAGTAGGGCCATTTCTTCCATAAAAGAGAATGTGCAAGTGCTAGAACAATCTGGTAGTTGGCCAAATGGCCCTAAAGGCTCCATGCAATGTACAGTCTGGAATCTGAAGAAGATAAACATGGTCAAAGGCTAGTTTGTGTCCAATTTTCTTTTGCTGCTTACTCAGCCCTCAAAAGAGAATGGTGGAGTTTTTGTTAATTTTTGAGGTTCTTAAAGGGAATTCTCTCCCTACATGACACACAGACCTTCCTTAAGAAACCAAACAACTGGCATTTGTATATTTGAACAGAAGTAATTAAAAATTTATCTAAAGAAGATGAAAAAAGGTCTACTTTTCTACATGATTATTACTGAGATCAAATTCAACTAAAATGGGTTTTTAAGTAAAAATGTAAATGTTGATATTACAGACTGTTTTAATGAATACTTATATTTATGCATGTATAAATATATGTAAGAGATTTTGTTCTATGATATACATTTATGAGTAGAAGTTAATTATAAGTTTTATTATTGTTTTATACTTTTTACTTTTATATTGGCATTGACAGGAATATCAAGGATATGTTTATAGTGGTTTTTATATTACAGGAGAAGCTTTGTTCTTAAAACAGCAGAAACAACTTGATTATGGCTGAAATATAATTTTCATAGACAAGCTTTTGCCAAAGTGTGGTCTGTTCCTTAATTCTGTGTTGCAAAAGGCACATTACCCCAGAGGAAATAAATGATAATAGTGAAGAAAAGGTACAGTTATGAAAGGAGAAGTTCTTTCTCAATGTGTATGTTATTTCTATTTCACATCTAATATTGCAACCCCATAGGGAAAAAAATTCAAAACATGAAAAAGAGAGGACCTCAAAGGCCTAGTAATAATTGATGCCCATTTTTTATTAAATTTATAGAGGTAACATCGGTTAATAATATATAGGTTTCAAGTGTACATTTCTATGACACATGATCTGTATATTGCATTATGTGCCCATCACCCAATGTCAAATCATTTCCCATAATCATATATTTGACACCCTTTACCTTTCATTACCTACTCACCCCCATTCTCCATGGTAACCACCATACTGTTGTTTGTGTCTGTGAGTTTTTGCTTGTTTTTCTTGTTTGTTCATTTGTTGTTTTCAGTTTTAGATCCCACATATGATTGAAATCACATGGTTCTTAACTTCTTCTGTCTGACTTGTTTCACTTTGCATGACATTATCATGTCATTGCATATGGCAGTATTTCATCTTTTCTTATGGCTGAGTAGTATTGTGTTGTATATATGTACCACATCTTCTTTATCAAATAATCTATTGAAGGACACTTTGGTTATCTCCATGTCTTGGCCACATCATCTTCACTAGCTATTAGGGAAATGCAAATCAAAACTACAACGAGATACCACTTCACACCTGTTAGAATGCCTATTATCAACGAGACAAGTAATAACAAGTATTGAAGAAGTTGTGGAGAAAAAGGAACCCTCATTTACTGCTGGTGGGAATGTAAACTTATACAGCCACTATGGAAAATGGTATGGAAGTTTTTCAGAAATAAAGAACAGATTTACCATATGACCCAGCAATCCCTCTTCTGGGTATCTTCCCCAAAATATTGAAAAAAAATTTTCACAAAGATATATGCACCCCTATTGCAGCATTATTCATGTTGGTCAAGACATGAAAATACCCTTCCATAGATGAATGGATAAAGAAGATATGGTACATATATACAGTGGAATACTACTCAGCCATAAGAAAAGATCAAATATACCATTTGTGACAGCATAGCTAGATCTTCAGAATATCATGCTAAGTGAAATAAGTCAGATAGAAAATGTTAACAACCACATCATTTTACTCATATATGGGATAGAAAACTGAAAGCAACAAAGGAACAAACAAGAAAAACAAATAAAAACTCATAGACACAGACAACAGTATGGTGGTTACCAAAGGGAAAGGGGGTGGGAGGTAATAAAGGAGTAAAGGGGGATGGATATATATATATATATAGTGACAGAAGATTATTTGACTTCGGGTTGTAGGCACATAATGCAATATACAGATGATGTATCATAGAATTATATGCTTGACACCTATATAATTTTATTAACCAATGTTACCTCAATAAAATTTTTTGAAATAAGAAAAAGAAAAGTCTAGAGACTTCCGGTCAAGATGGCGGCGTAGGGAAACGCAGTATCGCGTTCTCCCACAACCACATCCAAGTTACAACAAAACTACAGAACAACCATCATCCAAAACCGCCTGAAATCAAGCTGAATGGAAGTCCTACAACTACGGAATTAAAAAATAAAAAGCAGCCACATCCAGACCGGTAGGAGGGGCGGAGGCGCGAGGGGTGGTGGCAGAGGCCCGGTGGCGCAACGGGGCTGGTCCCACACCCAAGTGTGGTGGATAAAAATCAGGAGGCTCCCGCGGCTGGGAAGGTCCTTCCTGGGGACTGAGGGGTCCCCGACCCACACCAGGTGCCCCGCTCAGGTTTCCAGTGCCAGGAAGAGAAGTCCCCATAACTTCTGGCTGGAAAAACCAGCAGAAACTGAGGCTCAGGGAAGCTGACCTGGCTGAAACCACAGGCAGCTCCCTAAAGGGCCCGCGCACGGACTTATGGGACTCTCTCCCTCTAAGCTCGGAGGGGAGGCAGCTCGAGGGGCGCCAGAGACACACAGGGAAGAACTGAGCTGTTTGGCACTGGAGCGAGCGCTGGAGAGGGGGCTTCCTCGGGGACAAACGTGCTGTCAGAGGCCTTTGTTCCTTTGGTGAGCCCTTCCCTGGGGCGGCAGACAGTCGCCATATCTGGGACTCCAGCAACCTGGCTCACACTGGTAGCCCCGCCCTGCTGACTCCCTGAGGCCCCGCCCCGCCCCGCCCCACACAACTTTCAAGCCCACCCAAGCTGTTGCTACCTGCTTAACCATAGGATTGGCCTGTCTTGGATCCTGCTTCAGGTTTTTCCTAAATTCTTTCAAACGAGCAGCATCGGGTCTCAGCGAGCCCCTTACCTCTCATTAAGTAATACACAGAAACAAACACAGGGAGGCAGCCAAAATGAGGATACAAAGAAACAGGTCCCAAATGAAAGAACAGAACAAAACCCCAAGAAAAGAACTAAGCGAAATGGAGATAAGCAACCTAACAGATGCTGAGTTCAAAATACTGCTTATAAGGATGCTCAATGAACTCAGTGAGGGCCTCAAGAGCATAAAAAAGTACCAGTCAGAAACGATCGCTGCACAGTTAGAAACGAAGGAGGCTTTAACTGAAATAAAGAATAATTTACATAGCTTCAATAATAGAGTACGTAAATCCAAGGAGCAAACCATCGATTTGGAATATAAGGAAGCAAAAAACGCCCAACCAGAACAGCAAAAAGAAAAAAGAATCCAAAAAAATGAGGATAGTGTAAGGAGCCTCTGGGACAACTTCAAGCGTGCCAACATTCGCATCTTGGGGGTGCCGGAAGGAGAAGAGAGAGAACAAGAAATCGAAAACCTGTTTGAAACAATAATGGCAGAAAACTTTCCTAACTTGGTGAAGGAAACAGACATACAAGTCCAGGAAGCACAGAGAGTCCCAAACAAGATGAACCCCAAGAGGCCCACACCAAGACACATCATCATCAAAATGCAAAAGGTTCAAGACAAAGAGAGAATCCTAAAGCAGCAAGAGAAAGGCAGCTAGTTACCTACAAGGGAGTTCCCATTAGGCTGTCAGCTGATTTCTCAAAAGAAACTTTGCAGGCCAGAAGGGAGTGGCAAGAAATATTCAGAGTGATGAAAACCAAGAACCTACAACCAAAATTACTCTATCCTGCAAAGCTGTCATTTAGAATCGATGGCCATATAAAAACTTTCCCAGACAAGAAAAAGTTAAAGGAGTTCATCACTACCAAACCGTTATTATATGAAATGATGAAGGGTCTTTTTAAAGAAAAAGATAAAATGTATGAACAAACAAAATGGCAATGAATACATATCTATCAACAATGGAATTTACAAACAAAATGAACAGGAAGAACAGGAACATTCTCATAGATACAGAGAACATTTTGTTGGTTGCCAGTTGGGAAAGGGGTTGGGGGAATGGATGAAAAAGGTGAAGGGATTAAGAAGCACAAATTCATTGCTAGACTGACAAACCTCAAAGGGAAAGGGGTTGGGGGGGGGTGGGAGGAAATAAACCAAAGAACTTATATGCATAACTAATGGACACGGACAATAGTTTGGGAAAAGGAGGGAGGGGGGCGGGAGTGGGGAGGAGGGGGTCAATGGGGGAAAAATGTGGAACATCTGTAATACATTTTACATCCAACAATAAAGATGTGGGGAAAAATAAAAAAATAAAATAAAATAAAATAAAAAGAAAAAGAAAAGTCTAAAAAAAAGTAAAAATGAACAGGAGAAATCTCCAGAAAGACAATTAAATGAAATGCAGACAAACAATTGACCAGATACAGAATTCAAAACACTAATTATAAGGATGCTCAAAGAACTCTATGAAAACTTAAACTAAGAGATAGTAAGCATTAAAAAAGGAAATATAAATCATGAAAAGAACCAGTCAGAAATGAAGACTTAATAACTGAAATGAAGAATACACTAGA